AGAGTATTCCTTTTGATCTACAAGTTGACCAAGTATTCTAAGAAGATGTTTCCACTGAGTTTCAGCTGATGAGAAACTTTAAAACAATAAAGCTGGGCCCAACTGTCTTATCATTGCAAAAAGATCTTTTTTAGCTTTCTCAAAATATGGAGATGATCCTCTCAAATGTCTTAAGAATTTAAAATCTTCATCATGGTGCATAAATCTTTCTAATGCTCCCTCTTGCTTCAAATTTCCTGCTTTTAAAGAAATTTTCTTACCACCCTTGCATTTTCTAAGAGAAACATTTGACTTCCCTTAAATAATTTTCATCTGCAGCTTTTTGGTTTTATAGAATATATTTTCAACATTCATGGCAGCTCTTCTATCAGATCTTCTTAGCTCTGATTTACATATGTCACTGTAATGAACTTTCACAATGCGGTCTTTATTGCCTTGTCTTTTCTGTCCAAGAAATATACCTGGATATGCTAATTCTTCACAGTATTTATTTCTAAATACACTCAATGGTCTACTGCCTTCTGCTGGTGCAACATTAAGAACATGTTGACGTTCATCATTTTCTAAAAAATCTGGTGAGGTAAGCAAGGTGTCAGTTACACCAGTGGGGATTTCTGCTTCATCTTCACTCCACTGATCTTCATCACGTAAAGGGCATGTAAACCCCAAAATACATGTTTTTCTTATACTATGTAAAAAGTGGCGTAGAAAACGAATTCGAAATTCGTTTTGTCCAATTCGACTTATTTTAGGAGAAAATCGGCATTTTCAACTGAAATTCCATTTCCGGTAAAAACAATTGCAAGAAGTGGTGACGTAAGCGGTGGAACTAAAATATTGCGCAACACATATTCCCCAGTAGAACTGGTATGGGAGTTCGTGTAAGTAGCGGTAGTTTGGAAGATGTTTTTTCAGAAGATAGCGACTCGAATGCCTTAAGCTTAGTATATGACAGCGACGGGGATAATCCAGAATCTTCAGGAGAGTCTGGGACACGTCCTTAACAATATGAGCCGCGTAGTGTTCACCGAAGCGATCCGCACAAGACAGTACAGAACATGTCGACAGCGATGCGACCTCCTCAGAAACTCAGACTGGTATTTAATTTACTGTGTGATTTATTTGTATTTGACATGAAAATCCAATAAAGCGAGGGTACAATCCAAAAGAATGCAACAGAAATTTTTTAAACTTGAGCTTCTGAGAGTGTTTTGTACAAAATTATCAAAGGTGCGAGTGTGGAACTTGTCAACCAATGCCGACAACTCATGAAAGTGTTTCTTGTACGGAAATCGGGCAATTGTGGCAAAAAGTAGAGTAGCAAGGGCCTGAAACCCAGATAAGTTGTAACACTGAGCATCCAGGTTTTCAGTCAATTTGCCTTGATTTCTGGCTGCTGGAGACGGCCAATAACGCGTACAGGCAGCAGCAAGGCACAGATAATCACACTGGAAACGAGTAAGCCAAATTTTTTCTGTTTCATCTGTTTTATTACATTTTGAGATCGATTTGCTTGGGTTGTTTCTGCCATTGATTTAAGTGCGGTAAACAATATCCGAAACATTTTTCCAGTGGATTTTGGATCGCCTTACACTGGATTAAAACCGCCAAACCTATGAGAGAAACAAAGGTATATGTTAATGCAGATCTTAGTTATTTATTATTTACAGCACTGGAAGTTGTGCCCGTTCTTTATGAGATATTTATTTATTGCTTTCCTTCATCTCCGAAGCATTTCCATCGATAAACAAGTTGTACCATATACATTTCCTTGTGTGGTCTTCATAATTATCCAACCCTGTTTGTGTTTGCTTCGATTTGAAATACTGAAAAGATAGTTTTGCAAGCTGAAATCAGGATCTTTTAAGTTGTACTGAAAATGATGATTATTGTCCTACTGACCTTTGAATGTATTTTCATTGCTGTGAAAATCGTGACACAAATCTTCTGCTGATTCTCTGCAGGGTTTCTCAAAGGAAGCACCAAGTGGGGCTGACATGGATTTTCTTATAGAACATAAGGGTTGATTATGGGATCCTGTATATTACACACTGACATCAACGAATTTTCTTTCTTTGATACGTGTTTCGAATTCAGGCAAAGGATCAGAAGGGTCAGTGTCTTTTATGGGCTCAGCGCTGGCTCCAGAACGACTGGCTTCCCCATAATCTTTCATTAGATGAGAAAATAGATGTTTTTAGAGAACCAATAAAGCTATCGTTGTTTAATTAACGAAACGTTTTCATGTAAATCGATTTTGTACTGTCTCCGTTGACCTCTAACTTTTGAAGAGCTCAACTTCTTTCTCAGTTCGGTCGGCCACTTCCGAATCCTCGTCGTCTACCGACTGTATGGGTCGTTTTTACACTTCCGAATAATTTGCTTCTAGTAAGGCCTGAATTGTCGGTACAGCACCAGGAAGAAAAATGACTGCTACAAACAACAGAATGTTCGAACAGCTCGACGAAATCGGCTATTTTCACTTGAACAAATTTCACAAATTCTCGCTTCAAATTTGCGTCATTTGGAAATATTTCGGCATTGTATGCCCAGTTTTGCTTGAATCAGCACAAAACTGGACGACACAACGCTTTACCATTACGAAAAAATTTAATATACTGAAGAAAAATGTAAGTAAAAAAAAACATGACGAGACCGGCAAACAACGGCTGTAGAAAAGACTCCTTCGTGCCTCACGCGATTATAAAACGAGACTTTGGAGGGCCCACCCGTGACGTCACAGGAAAGATGGCGAATGTTTCGAATTTGGAAGAGCTTTTACAAAGTGAAAATGGACTTTTGAGAAAAAACGAATGGTACCTTTGGTGTACACGTGAAGTCGTTGCAGGAGAAGACCACATTGGTAGACCAGGAAAACTGCTGGAGGCTGCTGACTGTGGAGCATTGCTGATAATGTTTGAAAGCTGTCGCTGTTCCTTCTCGCTACCTTCATCGTAGTCGTTAAGAGACTTTTCACTTGCGTGGCTGGTCACCTGGATTATCGACTGCCTCTTGACGCTTGCTGCTCTGAGTTTCTTCACAACTGTCTTCCTTGCGGTGTGGTTAGTCAATTTCTTCTTGCTTGTTTCCAGAGCTGTGTTCTTGACGACGCTCGTCATCATATTGTCGATGCTGTTTACGCCGAGCCGCTGCTTCTTGTACCAAACATTTGTTTTGGGATTTTCGATTATGGCAAGGTAAAAAGGACCTTTGTCGCGCAGCTCTTGAGGACGCCTACTAAGGTATTGCTTCAGTAACTCAACAGGACATCTCTGAACGCCAGTAGCGAACATTTTGGCAGAACACTACGATGTTTTGTGTTCAGTCCTCCCTGCCTCGTCTTTGTAGGATTTTCTTTAAATGTGACGTACTCTGTGCCGCTGTCGTCCACACAAAAACTGAAGTCCTCGACTTCCATTGAATGGTGTTCCTGTCTTCCCCTCAGGCCAAAATGTTGAGTCAAGATCCACCACATCATCTGGGAAAGAACTCTTGGAATGCAGTCGCCGAGACTTTGTTCACTCCATAGCATTTTTTTCTTCTTCGGCTGTCAGTGCGTTCGCGGCGTTGGGTCTCTTGCCTTTTCCTTGTTGACGGAGACACTTCACTTTCCCTTCGAGTACCAACTTCGACTGGTGAAACTCTCGGTCTCGTATAATAGAGTACTTGTAGTCATGCTCTTTTAAATAGCGGTCGAGGGCTGCCAGCATGGATTTTAAACTCTCAGGTTCGTACTCACACCCGTCTTTTGTGCGTATTTCTGTGTAGAAGATTTGCAACATTTTATCGAGTTGTTCGTGCTCGTATTCTTCATTTGGGTTTTACTTTTTCGTTGAGTCGCCCATGTTTGCCAGACATTTAACCAGGTCTGTGTAGCTTTCAACGTGTTTTTGTTTCGCATTTTTCTTTAAGTTGCTCAACGATGTTTTGGTTTGACAAAGCAAACCGGCTGTCAGCCATTTGTTTATAATTTGGCGCTTCCCCGGTGTTTCCATGGCAACTTCTCCGTATTGCACTCTATAACCTCTATTGCTCTCTATAACCTATTTATGCATTCATCATTGACCAATCAGAAATGCGATATTTTGTTGAGTATATAATAAATATATATATATAACTGCCCGTAAGAACAAACAACCGGTGCAAGAGGCAGAACATCAACCACTTGATCGTGGCACTGAAACATATGCAGAAGTAGTCAAGAAACACATTCGTCAGAAACTGACCCCAAATAAGTCGGACCCCACAAGAAGAAAAATACCACCTGAAGAACGTGGCCAAAGAAGGTACTATGAAAGATCATCAAGGGACAGAGAGTGGGGCTACAGACGCTACCAACAACAATCACTAGATTACAACCAGCATGAAGGAGGTAAGCGCCAATCACAACGGCGGTATTTTTTAAGCGGTCGACCACCTGCCAGGAACAGATACAAAGATTGAGATTGAAACCAAACTGAAAAGATATCGGAACGGAAATGGACAATGAGTAAAGTCAAACCCAAAGAAATGACACGTTAGAAATCCACACACATAGAGAATATTTTAAGTAGACGAACAGTAAACTTATCTGGCATTCAACTTACGCAGCCGGAAACAAACCTTCTATGTAAGGGACTTAACTTTTGCCCAACACCACCACCACCAGGAAAATATGAAATCAGTAAGGACATTGATGCCTTTGCCCGTAGACTAACCCTTAAGGAATATCACCTCCACCAGAATATCTAGAAGACGTAATAGACGGCCCTGGATACCAACCATCGATTCTTCAAAATTGAACCAGAAGGAGCGCAAGGTGTAATACTGGACCTTCAAGGGAACCATACCTTAATACATATATTGACAAATTAAGGCAAGAAATCAGTGATGAGACTTTGCACAATCTACGATCTCCACGCAATAATCTAACCAAACGTGAGAGAGCAGCTTTGTTTAGACTAGGCAACAACACGGACATAATCATCAAGCCCGCAGATAAAGGCGGAGCTACGGTCTTCATGAATGCAAAGGACTATGGTAAGGAGGCTAAACGCCAACTAGACAATGAAGAATATTACAAGAGAGTAGGAAGAGATCTCACTCTTGAACACGAACAGCTCATAAACCAGTGCTTAGATACACTTATGGACGACGGAGAATTAGAAGAAGAAGTAGCTAAACTCTTAAGACCAGCACAATCAAGGACTCCTATATTCTATATGCTCCCCAAAATACACAAAGTTAACAATCCAGGTAGACCAGTAGTATCCTCCGTGAACAGCCACACGGAGAAGCTATCAACTTATGTGGACGAATTTTGGAGACCTATAGCAAGCTACCGTCATACATACAAGATACCACACACTTCATTAAGCGAATACGGAGTTTGGGCAAGTTACCCGAAAAGTGTTACGCAACTCTGGAACGTATCAAGCCTATATACGAATATAGACACAGACGAAGGACTCACTATTGTGGAGGAAGAGCTGAGCAAAACAGACAAGAACCAAGCCATCACCGATTACATTACCGTGTCTCCTCGAGAAGGTTCTTAAACAACAACTTTACCTTTGGCAATGAACAC